CCATCAAGATAAGCATTTGATCAGCCAATCCCTCGCCTTTGTAGAAGAACATGCATACTTTCATGTGGCACAAACCTCCTGGATCGACTCTCAACCATTCTTATCGAATAAGACTCCAAATGGGCGTCACGAACACGCCTCCATACTTAGCCATATTCTAGCAGTTCCCCGGTTTTGAGGTAGCATCTTGAGAGCTTTAAAACATGGCGTTATTGACTTATTCCTTACCAACCAAGCCTTCCACCTTGTAGAGAAACATTTGATCTACAATTCCAAACCTTCTATTTGAATTTCCATGTGATAAGTAGTTTCATTATCTAATACCACACATCCTTACGATATTCATTCACCACTAAGGCTAAACCATCTTTAGAATTATCGTGGTAGCATGTGCTTCCTTCTTCTCCAGGTGTTTCTTTAACTTAGGACAATCAAATTTCCAATTTCATATCTCCTTATAGTAATTACATATATTATCAGTCATCAAACCAACATAATTGGAATTTTCATTCTCCTTCCTATTCCCATATTGTTGTCCCCTACTACCTGTAGTAGCCAACCTAGACGCCTGATTTTTTGAATTTGAACCAGACGCATTTCTAACCTCTCTAGTATATCAAACCTCTCTTATATTACTTGTTGAGACCAGATGCTCCATTAGTATGATGTTGTTTGCTTTGGGCCAAAATCGTACGTATTTACTACTGTATTTCTTCCCAAAAGGCCTCGACGTTGCTAGGTGGACATTTATATCAATGGTTATATTCCTTGTATTTTTCAATTTGATTGTCCCATAATATCCCTCATCTCAATACAATGATCACAAACTTCATGTCTCATCATCAACAATTATCTTGATCCTCCATACACCTTGTATCAACAAACTTTTGACCCAACGATTTACCATATGCATATCTTAACTTAATTCACTAGATAGATGCAGTTCTCAAATCACGAGGTCACCGAATGAGGTACACCAAACTAAAACCAGTATATTGATTTTGTCGACACTATCGATATGCTCTTGAATACAAAGATTTTTCATATGCAGATTACCTTTATTCCATCAGGCAGACGCAAATCTTCATAGCTCCACTAGACGGATGCAAATCTCCTTTGATCCATCAGATAAATGCATATCTCAAATATACTTGTGGATGAGCACTTCTACTATGCTATATAGCATTGGTGCTTTAATGTACAACTCAAAGTTGTACCATAACATTAAATGTATAAGTTTAGGTTGTACCATAAAGCAATTTGTATCATTATGTTATGGTACAACTTTACAACTTGAAGTTGTGTCATCACATAAAGGTACAAGTTCAAGTTGTACCATAAAAGAATTTGTACAAAAAGTATAGATACAGTCTAAAGTTGTACCATAACGTAAATATACAATTTTAAGTTGTACCATAAAGGCAAAAACCTATAGCACCAATACTATATAGGGTTATAGGTATAATATGCCCATCTACTATGACGTTTTATCAAACATGTGGATACCTTTCCAAAATGCTTCATACTAATAAAAATTGGTGCACAGTTATGTAAAAATATCATTTTCCTTATATTTTCGATATAGTACTTGAATTATACGATACCAATCTCATATTAGTATAGTATTTGAACTGTATCATAATTCATAACAATTAGTCTGCTAACACTAACATATCTGGACTGTGTCATAGAAAAATAAAATGAAAAAATAAGAAAAATCTATATATATGTGGTGAGTTGGTGATATACAAAGGAAGAATATGAGTAGAGGGCTCCATTCCACGACTTCCATATTAAACTTGTGGCAAACACGAGCTATGGAATCCCCTGATGCAATTGCAGTCGCAACTCCACAACTCTCTCTCTCTCTCTCTCTCTCTCTCTCGCTCTCTCTCAGCTCATCTCCCACACCTTATCTCCTTCTACGATCCCCACACCCATCCAGTCGATTACAACACCAAAAACTTCTGACCCTTGGATCAGATAAAACCAGATTTCTCCCACCTCCCAATCCAAACCCCACTCCCCAATTTTTTATAGTGTACATAATTTTATTTATACATTATTTACTGCCAGGCAGGTTGGCGAGTTCGTCCATACAAAAGGATCATTGAAACATCCAATGATATGATGCTCTTTGATGCCATTTTTTGTAGTGTATCTGGTTCAATATGCTTCATTGGTTGTGTGTTGGATTTGTTATGCATAAATCTCCCAAATATCGATCCGTAAGCTCTATGTGAATTGAACAAGCCGTTAGAATGAGACTTCAGTTTACACATGTTTATCTTCTAACCGGCCGTCCCAAAGGCACTTGCATAATATTAAATTGATGACAATACAATAAATTGATAAATAAGCTGGTGTGGTAATTTTTTATAGAAATTTGACGATGCTATATAGTATTGGTGATATAGGTTTTTGCCTATATGGTACAATTTGAAATTGTACATTTAACGTTATGGTACAACTTTAGATTATACCTATAGTGTTTGTACAAATTCTTGTATGTTACAACTTGAACTTGTACCTTTATGTGATGGTACAACTTCAAGTTGTAAAGTTGTACCATAACATAATGGTACAAATTCTTTTATGGTACAATCTAAACTTGTACATTTCATGTTATGGTACAACTTTAAGTTGTACATTAAAGCACCAATACTATATAGCATAGTAGAAATGCTCAATTCTTTATTAAAATATTTATCTACCGCACCGATTTGAATGGCGATAGAGAATTTTTTCTACTGTTCAACCCATCAACATGAGACGGTTTAGTCATCCTTAATTTAAAATAATGAATCTAAAGTTTGGAAATCCTTTGATTGAAAGAAGTATTAATAATAGAAATTTTACGATGCTATATAGTATTGGTGCTATAGGTTTTTGCCTTTATGGTACAATTTGAAATTGTACATTTAACGTTATGGTACAACTTTAGATTATACCTATAGTGTTTGTACAAATTCTTGTATGGTACAACTTGAACTTGTACCTTTATGTGATGGTACAACTTTAAGTTGTAAAGTTGTACCATAACATAATGGTACAAATTCTTTTATGGTACAATCTAAACTTGTACATTTATGTTATGGTACAACTTTAAGTTGTACATTAAAGCATCAATACTATATAACATAGTAGAAATGCTCGTATTAATAAGATTACAATTGTGGGGTAGTCTGGTGGTGGTAATTAGTGATATGATGGGGAAAATAGATTGAACGGTTTGAAAAAAAAATTATAGATAAAATCGAATCGTACATTTTTTCATATAAATTGTAGACCATTAAGAGTGATTTAGTTCACATGGTCGATATTATGATATGTTTTAGATCTACGTCTGGTCTAGTTCATTTTTTGGCTCAACAAGGTATGGTTCGGCCTGAATTTTCCAACCCTAATTAGTAATTGGCGAAGGGGGAAAATCTATTTACACAATATATAATAGTAAGAAATGGAAAATTGTTGCTCCATTTCAAATTTCTTGCAACGAGAGTGAAAATAGAAAGGACATTTTGGTCTTCACGATTACTTTTTTTATTCATTAAAAAGATACGTACTTGTATTCGAACCATGACCCCTTTAAAGGAAAGAAAGGATCATAACCAATCACACTAATTACATTCGTTGTATCTTTTTAAATTAAAAACATATAATAGCGGGGAGGAAAACACCTTTCCTCCATTTCAAATTCCCTGCTCCAAGAGCGTTTGTAGGAAGGGTAGAATTGGGAATGTCAATTTTTTTTCTCTTTCCTCTGTGGAACGAGCCAACTTTCCGTAAACATGGGGATTTAAACGGGTCCAGGAGTGTCAATTTTTTTCTTTAAGCCCTTTTATTTCTCCGTGGTGGTAAAATATATATGAAAAGGCAAAAACAATACTCCTTTTATTGCTAAAAAGAAAAAAATTTAACAATAAACTATTTCATGGATTGTAATGGGCTAACCGCTAACCATAAAATAAAAGAGTTGAATGGTCTGACCTACATGGGATTTGGCCATCTAGTAAAACAAAAGAACTTCATGAGTTTGTCATTCTAAAACAAACTATGTTCTCTAGCATAATATATATTATGCTATTATTTTATATCTTAGTGGCTAATATATATTATGCTATTATTTTATAATATAAAAAACTAAACAAAAAGATCTATTTGGTTATTTTTAACATTAAACGATCTTAAACATTTTCAGTTTTCTTTCGAATTGCTATGGTTTTATTCCCGAATCAGTGATGTGCAAATGGCGAATTGTAGTAATCTCTTTTCTTTCACTATTTTTTATTTTCAAATAGAAAGTTTAAAAGTAAAGAATAATTAGAGTTTGGCATGGGTTGGTCAAACAGGTTGAATTTCAAGTTTTGGCCTGTTTTCATCAAGTCTAATTTATAATCACATGGTTCTCTGATACCCGATAAAAATCTCAATCCAAACCAGTTTGGCAGGTGAGTCTGTGTTTACCACCATTTTCTAGGGATACAGAAACGACGGTTCCTATCCCAAATTGTGTTGTTTGTTCTTGATTTCTTTAGATTTTATCATGGCCTGGCAAAAACCAGAAAGCACAATGACGATAAGATGAAAGTTTTATAAAGCAAATTAATCGACCAACGGGCCGAGTAAAAGCTAGCAACGATTGCGAGATGCTCATTTCCCAAAAAAACCGACGGAATAGGCGATTTTTTATTCGTTTTTCTGAAATTCGGTTTCTATAAAAATTACTCCACCTCATCATATTACTAGAAACAATATTGTTTTACAAGGTAACAGGTACTTGATTTTGATTCATAAGGCTGATTTTTCATTGGTTGCATCATCTATATCTCTTTCCTGCTAAAATTGACTATTTTTATGACGTATTTCTAAAAAAAATTATATAGCAATAAACTATATACCCATTACATTATCAAATACCTCACTTTTCTCGGCCAATTGGCCGGGCCTAGTAATGTAGAAGAAAAAATAAAAATGGAATAGAGCGATGATGAAGTGGGGGGATGTGGATAAATCGTGGAGAACACCCGCCAATCAGAATGCACCAAAATAAAATAACCAAATCCCAATCCTCAATTCGGAGCAGGTCAATTATTCACTACTCCTGCCCAAAGACCAAATCCCTCTTCATTTCAACAGCGAAGAAAAAAACGAGCTCCATTACCGACTAAACCCACAAACGCGGCTCTCCGCCTTCCTCCCTCCCTCCTCCTTCTTCTTCCCGGGAGTCGGCGCTCCGTTGAAGAGTCAGAATTCAGCTTACTGAAATACCTAGGGTTTCAGATTCCGATTCGGAGCCGGAGCGCCCTTACTTAGTTCGTTATTACATTTAATAATTTAACCGTCTCTGATTTTTTTCCTCCCCTTCAATTTTCCCCCCTCTGCCGGCTAAACATGGCTGTTTCGAGCGGTCTCGCCACTACTCTGGCTGCTGCCAAGATGGAAGCTTTCTCCTTGAATTCTTCATTGCCTCAGGCGTCCTCATCTGGGTCGATGTCTCTCCGGGCTTATCTGGCTCCGTCGCAGCTCCGGCCGTTTCCGAACCCGGCTCGGAATAACTTCCGGAGGAGGGCAATGCTGAAAGGGGGTCTTAGATGTGAGGTCGCTGCGTCTTCTTCTTCAGGGGATGCTGTGGTTGAGACTGCCGAAATTAACATCGACCTCGACAGAGTTTCTAGCCTCTCTGCCCTTGAGCAGCTCAAGATATCCGCCTCTGATAGTGAGTAGATTGCCATCTAATCTTGGTTTTTTGTGGTCTATGCGTTTTGTAAGCTTTAGGATTTATGGCTGATTGGGGTTTTTCATGGACCTTGTTCGTTCATGGTGGTCTGAAGTAACATTAGAAGAACTGGGTTTCAATTGTCTGATTTCTGATGTGATGGAATGACGAATTAGATTTGTTAAAGGCACAAAAATGGTGTCTCAAGTTTTTCTCGTTGCTTACAATTTACACAAACTACTTGGTTTGCAGGATACACAAAGGAGAGGGCGAGCATCGTGGCTATAGGACTGAGTATCCACACTGCACCAGTCGAGATGCGTGAAAAGCTTGCAATCCCAGAAGCCGAATGGCCACGAGCCATTGCTGAACTCTGCAACTTGAACCATATCGAAGAGGCTGCTGTTCTCAGCACTTGCAACAGAATGGAAATATATGTCGTTGCACTCTCTCAACATCGCGGGGTCAAAGAAGTCACCGAGTGGATGTCCAAGGTAATTAGCATCACCAGTTAATCTTTTGATTTGGATTTGCCACAGAAAGCTATTATCAGAATGCTTACCACCTAAACTAACTCGCTGCTGCTTGCCTTGGACAGACATCTGGCATCCCGGTTGCAGAAATCTGTGAGCACAGATTCTTGCTCTACAACAACGATGCAACACGCCACTTATTTGAAGTATCTTCTGGTCTAGATTCACTTGTTCTTGGAGAGGGTCAGATTCTCGCTCAAGTCAAGCAAGTGGTAAAAGTTGGCCAAGGTGTAGTTGGGTTTGGAAGAAACATCAGCGGGCTATTCAAGCACGCGATATCGGTTGGTAAACGTGTGAGAACTGAGACGAGTATCGCAGCTGGGGCAGTCTCAGTCAGCTCAGCTGCTGTCGAACTAGCTCTGATGAAACTGCCTGAATCTGCGCATGCAACTGCTAGAATGCTAGTGGTTGGGGCAGGGAAAATGGGGAAGCTGGTGATCAAGCACCTGGTGGCAAAGGGTTGCACAAAGATGGTCGTCGTGAACAGAAGTGAAGAAAGAGTTGCAGCCATTCGGGAAGAGCATAAGGATGATGTGGAGATCATATACAGGCCACTCACAGATATGTTCTCCTGTGCTGCTGAAGCCGATGTGATCTTCACTAGCACAGCATCAGATGTCCCGCTTTTTCTGAAAGAAGACGTGAAGGATTTGGAAGGGTCGAGATTCTTTGTCGATATCTCAGTTCCAAGGAACGTGGGGTCGTGTGTTAATGATTTGGAAAACGTTCGTGTGTTCAATGTCGATGACTTGAAGGAAGTCGTGGCGGCTAACAAGGAGGATCGTTTGAGGAAGGCAATGGAAGCTCAGGAGATCATAACCGAGGAGACGAAGCAGTTTGAAGCTTGGAGGGATTCCTTGGAGACTGTACCCACCATCAAGAAGCTGAGGGCGTATGCAGAGAGAATCAGATTGGCTGAGCTGGAGAAATGTCTAGCCAAGATGGGGGATGATATTCCAAAGAAGACGAGGAGAGCCGTGGATGATCTCAGCAGGGGGATTCTGAACAAGCTATTGCATGGGCCGATGCAGCATTTGAGATGCGATGGTAGCGATAGTCGGACTCTGAGTGAGACACTCGAGAACATGCATGCTCTTAATAGGATGTTCAGTTTGGAAACAGAAGTCGCCATCTTGGAGCAAAAGATTCGAGCCAAAACTAGCCAGAAGTGAAGCCGCCCCTGGAAACCAGGGATACTTTTGAAGTTCCAGTTCTTCTGGGAATTGAAAAACAAGATGAGAGATCATTTCTCAATTCATTTCAAGTGTGGAGACAATTTTCAACCTATATATGTAAGTAAAATTGGTATGTTAATGAGTTGAAGCTTGAATGATCTTGTGTTTGAATCTGATCTCTACAGCCATGGCTGTGTACTACTTGTATTAAGTTTGCCACTCATGGTTTTTTCAATATAGAGAGTCCCTTCATTCTTCTCTGTTGATTATGAAGTTGGTGTTGTCTTCTTTTTTTTTTTTTTTATCATTAGATCTCTCAAAATGAGGATAGAGTTTGAAAGTTACAATGACCAAGAACCCCTACATCGCTGAGTGTTAGACAGGTAGGGTGACAATATAAGAACATGGTGGGCTACCAAATGAGCCGATCTATTGTAGTTTCGACCAACAAAAGATGCTGAAGATGAAGATTGAGCAGCAAGCAATTGACGAATCTCGGCATGAATAGCCCCTCCATTTGCATCAATTGCGAAAGGGTCTAAGAATTTTTATAAAACAACTTGAGCATCTCCACAATTGATACTCCAAATGAGTATGATTAGCACACTAAGCTGCTGCGCATTATTCAGTTGCGTAGAATGTTTGGGAGGAATGGGGTCCCGGAACACCCACACAAGCTGCTTCATACACTAGTGAACATGAAATCTCCAAATTGGATGGAGGCCCGGCGTTGTGAACGGATTAGTCTCTGAACTCTGAAGGCGGTTGAGAAGCCCAAATTGTGTGGAGTTTTCTGATACGTGAAACGAGAGCAATAAGAGCATTGATTGGGCTGGACTTGCCAGCTTTGGGCCACACAGCATGATTGGTCTCACTTCCTTGCACAAAAAGAGGGCCCGTTATAGCAAAACCCAAGAGGAGGAGAAGAAGAAGAAGAACGGAGCAGTCTCCCTGTCCCTGGTCCCTGGTGTGGTGGTGGGTGGAGCGGGGTGGCAGTGTATTCAGAAGAGGAAACGAGAGGTCCATAAAGCCACGCGAAGTTACGATCCCCACCGCCCAATGGCAAGCCAAAAATCCAAAGTCACTTTCATTGCAAAGAAAAAAATAGTAACATTTCTGTTCAGTGACATGCACATCGTATGTAAATGGTATATAGTGACAGATAATGGGGTGACATGTTCCATCCAGCATCATACAAGTAAGTGAAAGTTGTTGTGGATTTTGCGGCACACACATATTCTCCTCCTTGACCACCACAACACAATCAGTCATATGGTCCATTAACCTCGTTATCTATCATTCTCTTCCTCATTCCTTGTCGTGGACTGTACGAGGACGGACAACCAACCCCTTCCCTTCCCCCCTCGCCAAAACAAACCAGCTCTGATATTTTCTTCATTTTTCAACTTCAACTATCTTTTCTTTTTAACTTAAGATTAAGTGTTCCAGCGGATAATGTTGGGGAGTAAGTTTAATTAGAGGTTGAAGATTGTAGGGTGCATGACAAATGTTCGCGGTTGGACACTTGGACTTGGGACTATTATCATTGATCATTTCCAGTTGAATCCAATCACTATGCCTGATTTGGATAGGATGATGAAATCGATACTAACTCCACATGTTTAGCCAAGTTCAATTTCAATGGCAATATTCAAACTGGTGTGTAAACTGGTTTAGGGAAATGTGGTAGGATGGAAAAGATGATCGAATTTCTGGGCGGAATCAACTTTGGTGAGCATCGGAAATCGGAACATCAAGTATCGTTACTGACTTCAGTAATGAGTTTTAATGGGAAATTTGGAAGGTGTGGAATTGACAATCTTTCCTACCCTATTAGGAAAAAACAATTTTTAGTTTGTCCCATTTTATGGCTCCACATACCGTGCATCCATAACTAAATTTGGGCCCTTTATTCAGAAATTTCATATCTAAGGGTAGAAAATTAAAGACATTTTTATTTTTTCTTGTATTCTTAATCAGCTAATATCTTTTTCGTTTTAACTCGAATTTCAATCAAGAATAATATCAATACGGAACATTATGGTCAACCGCTTCCTTAAAACGTTCGTTTAAACCAATCTTCTAAATCTAATCTATCTAAAGAATAAATCTTAAAATATATTAAAGCAGTTTAGAAAATCAACCCTCTCCACGTCAGCCTCGCTGGCTTCTCCGCTCTTCTCGGTGATTACTGAATTTTCATTTTGTTTTAATGTTTCCCTCTTCCGAACGGTTTCTTTTCATCTTTTTGTTCTTTTCTTTTAATTTTGTTTCTCTTCTCCGTTTGCTAAGTGCCACAGGGCTTCTTTCTTTTTAAGAATTCTGCTTCCACAATGCTTTTCTTTGTTTTTCTTTTCTCCCTTTCTTTTGGTTCCGTGAGAGATGAGAGAGAAATTGTTGGATAATTTGTTAATATTTTTTATGTTAATTAGTTAATCATAATTATAATTATTTACTCATTCAAATAATAATAATATGTTTTCTAAATTATTATAATAAATATTTGTGTTACCGAGTACGGAGTGAACTTTCTACAAAACTTAGCCTATCCACATAAGTCAAAGAACCTTTCCATCCCCTCAAGATCTTCTCTCATGCACATAATCTCGCTCATTCTCAACACTTGACAATTTTTCTATAACATCATTTTCATTTAAAGACTCATTCTAACTTTCTTCGAGATTTCTAATCTACCACATCAGTTGGACTTTCACTTGCTAGCGATGTGTTGTTAAATAACTCTAACTCTAGACGGTAGGATTAAGCATCGTATGCAATTCCATAAATTGACTAAAGTATAAGTTGCAAGATAACATGATATGCCCACCATATTTTTCTTTGAATCATCATTAAGATGAATGCACATTCCACTCTTTACTGAAAAATGAGATGCATGTTTTCTCTCTTTTTTAGGTATCTCAAGGAGGTGAGTTTTGTGTTCTAATTTAATAAGAGATATTAAAAACTTTTGATGAATCTATTTGACGTTTCTTACATAAATTTTTTATGTGATTTTAGAAAATTGTTACTTTAATAACGAGATTATACATATACATAATAAATGAAAAAGCTACCTGCCCAAAGGGCAGGGGTCGAAGCTAGTCTAGACAATATATAATAGAGATTCATGGGTTTGTTTTTCTCCATTTTGAATTAGCTGCAACCAGAGTGATTGGCGGAAGGGTGAACATGACATTTCCATTGCTTTTAATTGAACGGAGCGTTCCATCGGTTTTTATCACGAAACCCCTTGACGCCGCGTTTTATCAGTTCCAGTCGACGTTTGTTTTCTCCATCCGGCTGCACTGCTGCAGCTCTCTGCACGACGAGATCCCGATCTGCAGACTGCAAAGTCTTGTGGCAGTTCCCAAGCTCGCCTGCCATGGAAGAAGATGGCCGCTTCTATTTGTGGGTTTTTCCTGGTTCGAATCTGGTGTGCTTTGAGATACCGACTCTATTTCAGTTTTCACAATCTGAACGCATTATTTTGTTTCTCCGCCGAATTTTGAATTTCATATATGGACGGAGACGGAGACCTAATTGGTCTTTTTTTACTGCTGGCGCTGTGCATGGAAATAAATTGTGGAAGGAAGATGAATCACTTTGTGATCCAGCAGGGCGCTTTATAGAGGAGGGAGGAGCTCCTCCGCTACTCCATTCTCCGAGCGGCGGGAGGCGGTTGTTTGTCCTTAGCAACGGCGTCTCGATCTGTTCGCCGATAAAAAAAACGACCACCACTTCGGTCTGAGGTGGCAGCTTAGATAAATATCCAACGATCCTTTCTTTAATTCGTTATTTATACTTCAATTTTCAAACCGATCGATCTGTCCTTGCTTCACTAATTCATATTGCGATGCTCAGATTGCCTCTTTTGGGAACGAGGTTTTACATTCACCAAGCAGAGTACCTACTGCGATTCAAAAGCAGGAAACGATCTTCTCTGTATCATCATCACTAAGGTAAGTGAGTTTCCCAAGTAAGATTCACTATGTTTGTGCCATTTATTAGGTTGTTCGATTCGGTCTTTGACGCCAACTGAACATGAACCCTAGCTAATTAGTGGAATGATGTTGTCGACCCCTTCTCACCACCATCTCCTGTTCCGTTCCGCCCCGTCCGCACGACATTTCATCGTCATCTTCAAGAAAAGGCAACGGATACATCGTCCGGTCAAATTTTGGGAACAACCCGACGGTGAGGGTGGAAGGTTTCGATTGCCTCGACAAAGACAACAAGAATCGCAGCATCCCCGCCCTGCATTGCATAGACAGAGATCTTTCATATCATAACCCACTTCTCTTCACTCCCCTCTAGAAACTCCAAACTTTTGCTACGAATTAATTAAGGTTAATCAATAGAATAGGAAACAAGTCAAGTCATCGGCATTTGGTAGTAGCAACGAAGAGCAGAGCAGCAGCGAGCAGGGTTTTGGTTTATTTATGCTTCTCTTGAGAGGTAATACAAACCAATCCCTTTTTATGATATCTGTACTATAATGGTCTGTTTTTGTTTGTAAATGCTCAATAGAATGTGTCAGTGTAATTAAGTAAGCAGAGGTCATTTCATTTTTAGAATAAGAGCAGGGAATGGAGAAGCTTTTCCCCATAATATAATTATCATACACATGTTTTGGTCTCTTGGACATGCGTTCAAGTGCCAACTACGACACTGCAAGCCACTATCAATCTAGAACTGAGGAGAAGTTCAAATTAACCCCACCGAAGCTGCAGCCAGATCTTCGCCGTCAACAATATTTTTCGATGAGCTCCTTGCAATTGTAGTTGGGGTTCAAGTTTGGAGCAAGAAGGGAATAAAATTTATCAGGACAACAATATGATTGACATAATGTATCTGAGTTGTGGCCACTACTACAGTAAATCTATGTCGAATACTATATATATCAAACCCCTCAACAAGTGTAGCTGATTCCAGTAAAACAAACTATTGTAGATGATAATTTTCCTTCTCACTAAAACTTTGACAAGGTATTTAGTGTTGTTGGAAGGTTAAGATTCCATAACTTTCAATAATTTTCTCTCTTCTTAGTAGAATCCAACCATATGATCTATGTGTTTGATACTAATTGTTGTCGTGAAATTACATTGTAAAGTCTATCACGATAAGTCATTTTAGGAGCAACCCGGCCAATAGGCCGGGCTCTGTGCTAGTATTAAATAAAGGGCTTCCCATTTAAGGCTTCGTGAATTCAAATTTCCCTTAACTCTCACACGTCCACGTCAGAATAGGTTATCAATGAATCAAATCCTTCCAAAAGAAACCAACCAAGGGAGAAAAAAACACCCTCCTCCGTGAACTCCTTCCCCATTTTCCAGATTTTTTTTTCCAATTTCATCTCCGTCAATTTGTTTTTGCATTCTTCCCATAATCCCATTTGCATGCCTTTCTCTAAAATACATCTGTTTATGCCTTATAGATACTATCTATATTCGTTATCATCTAAACAAATAGTCACCGTATATTCTATATATTGCATTGTAAATAAATTGTCACAATGTTTATAATAAAAATAAATTGATATTTAATTCATATGAACCGACAATTTGTAGTGTATATTGCATCATATAAATAATATGATAATATGAGTATGTTGGATATAAGGGCTATCCAAATATTGTAAACATTAGCATAAATATCAAGAATTATGAAAAGACATATATTCTTCATATATATAATTTGAGTGTTTTGGTTGATAAACTTTCATATAATTATGCATCGAGATTTCATAACCACCATTAGAATTATTTTTTTAAAAATTTAACCTCACATGATTAAGATTGGAAAAATGGACTATTATGAGTATAATTTTTCTTGAAATGTATAAAAAATAATTTATAAATGCCGTGTATGCATGAGATTAATGAGAGTTTCACAAATTTGAATAAAATTTTTCATATCAAAGCTAGTAAAATGATAGACCGATTGTGCATTACCTGTTTGTATTTGTGGATTATTATGAAGTGTGTTTATTCTATCTTTGGGTTGTGGATTGAACTTATCTATAATAGTTTTTTGTATAGCTATTGTTGCGGACTACATTAGCACATTATGTTTCCCATAGTCGGTCGACATGCACAACATGATTGTCGGTCGGACAAATACCAAGTTTGGTGATTAACATCTTCACTTGAAAATGTCGACTGATATAACAAAATTATGTTGGTGTGTACAAGTCCTCTTCAACGGAATGGTCGGCCATTCGGTTGTCCGGTCAACCTCAATATGTTATATAATACAAAGCCAATTACAGTCATGTTGAGATATCTTCTCTTCAATTTGGACAACCTATGGAAGCAATTTTTTTTTTTTTGGTAATGGTAGTCTCTTTGTAACCATAAAAAATTGTGATACGATCAACAATTTTCCTGAAGAGGGATTTACGATTTTCACAATAACTTGAAAGTCACCATAAACATGTCTAAAATAAATTAAATTATTTTTTGTTGTTCGTAATGACAATTGGAGCTATCTACCCAAAAAAAAATTGTATTTTAGCTTCCGTGGTCGTGCGTACCTACAATGGGAACGAGTTTCAAGTGAACGAAGCCCAAAAGAGAAAAGAGAGAGAAAAGAAAAAAAAAAGGCACAGGATTGCAGCAAGTTAGCAAAGTAATGGCTAAAGTAATCATAAGCTGATCCTAAAAAATGATTCAATCATCATTTGAAGGAAGACGCACCTAAAAGTGCCCAACTCCCTCCCTCCCCTTGAAACAAACAACAATCATTTTGTCCCATTATTATTAATGTTTGTCTTCTCAAAACAAAATATCATTTTGTCGAAGATAATTATCCTAATTTAAATGACTCTTTATTTTTTAGATAAGAGTGATATATGTTTATTTTTTGTAATTAGGTACTAATTAAGGAATCGAATATGAAACTTTCAGGTTCAACGTTAGTGGTATTACCAACTAGACCAAACCATTATTCGTTAAATGACTCTTTATTAATCAAGAAATAAATAGAGCAAAAGAGGCACTTTAACTATCTCAAAAAGGTTGAAATTAAAGAAGGCACTTTGTTCTAGAATAACTAAATTATATTAGATAAATGGTTAGTTTGTTATCAATTTTAATCTATAACGATGATTAATGATTAATAGGAAAAAATTTAGTGGTTTGATTTTAGTTAGCTCATTTTAGTTAGGAGTTAACAATGAACTCACTAATCGGTTAGTGATTAATCGTTAAAAAAAATCGATAATCACCTACCAGTCTAATCACATAGATTTGAGCTTTGGCTAAAGGGAAAAGTCACAAGATTTAAGATCAACTAAAGTCACAATTCCAAATATCCTAATTTTCATCTACTACAAACAACCCTCCAGACATTGTGAACAAAGATCCTCCAGCCAGAGTCTCAAATGTGTCGAAGAGTCTGAACCCAAAAGTTACTCCACTCCGGCTCCCCTTTGATATCGATAAAGCGAATATCGCATTGTAGTAATCTTTGTTTCTTTAATGGTTGTGAATGATGAAGATCTTGGGGTGCTTGTGTTTGATGTCTTTCTAGTTGGATGAAAACGTTTGATTTTATGGGTTGGATTTTATATTTTATATTATAAACTCATGATTAATATTGTATTATATTAGTGTTATTTCTTACCGTTATTATTTTATGTTAACAATGTAGAAGGGTAATTAAACTATTTTGAAGTATGAGCATTTATTATTAAAAAGGATATCATAAAAATATTAAATATAGAAAAGAAAACTGCCACATGTGGATATTGTAGTGGTTAACTGCCAAACTAACTACTATCGAATTGATATCGGTTTGATATCTTGGTATGCATTATTTTACTTAGTGGTTATCCAAGACCGAATTGATTAAGGTCATTAATATTTTGGGTTAATCTGCAAGGGAAACACATAGGTGTTCTTGATATTTTTGTTCCTCTAGATAAAGCCAATTAATATTTCTTGTGAGAGAAATTATAAGTCTTTTTTTATGGGAGTGGCATTGGTTATTTTTTATTATTACATAACACTTACAGAATTTGAACTCGGAACCTTCAGGTTGAACATCAACGGTAAAACCGCTACACGCAAGATGGAAAATGGGGCATGAGAGAAGTAAGTTTCGACAAAAAGAGATTGTTCAATCTCATTAAATGTGGCCACCTTCTCGCTATTTATCGGGGAAGGAATATCTCCAACCTCATGGGTTGGTCTCAGCATCCTTCTTCCGTTTTCACTACCTTTTGTCGTCACATTTAGTGAACTGTATTTTTCAGGGTCAAGCCCCCAACATAGTGGATCTCATAAAATGCTTAGCTCTTTCCCGTCTTTCTCAAGGCGCCTAATCAGAATCTTCTCATTGTTGCTAGATACTCTTTCTAGATCGAGTGTCCTTTGAGTTCACACTCTGTCTTTGTGCTTAGGTCGTGGTTGTTACTGGCCCAATAATTGAGTTTTTCTAGTTTTCGCATTTATTCTTTCGTGTTTATCCTTTATCATTGTAGAAGGTATGCAAAAGCTCATTGGGATAATGTACTATAAGCACAATAGTGTTCCTCTAACGCAAAATATTACGAGATGTTGAGGTGATGGCTACAAACTCAACATTCTATTATGCACGCCTCACCTTACTTCTTCTTTCATTGTCTCAGGCTCCAAACGTTGGAGGAAGATTGAGATAAATGTCCAGCCTTACTTCTTCCTCTAGCATCTTAGGCTCCGATGGATTTGCTGGAAGAAGATTAAGATTTATTCGCAACCAAAGGCCGAGTTTGATGGGCCAACAGTAGTTAAAGAAGGCATCATGTTATTAGAACACATATCCTCGATATTAAGGACCCCACCACATCACTTCGCTCGAGATAGCAATTTACTATGGTTTTTTGAGCAAACAATCTGACTTTCCATATTATGGCAGAAAATGGGTTAAATTATGCTATTTGTGGTAAGAACTTTGGTTAATTTTAGTTATGTTGATTTCTATGTTGTCACTTGCTCTGAACACTGCTAAGTCCATTCTTGGATATCTATTGAGTAGAGGTGGCAATTGGATCGGATTCGTGGATCCGTGGATTGGATCCGTGGATTGGATTCGTGGATTGGATCCAATGGATTGGTGGATTGATCCATGAATCCAAATAACATCTAAGGCTTGGACCAAAATGTAAATTTTGAAAAGTTTAGGTACTAAAATGTCATAATGAAAAATTTTAGGTACCAAAATGTAATTTCCAATGATATTTTTCGTATAAAAATATAAATTTTAGGTACCAAAATGTAAAATATAAAAAATATAGGTACCAAATCGTAATTTTCCATCTGGATCCATGGATTGATCCATGAATCCACCAATCCAATTGGATTTGGATCAAATGAATTGGATTTAAATGGATTGGATTAGGTGGATAATTTGGTGGATGAATTGGATTGGATTCATGGATTTGGATCCTAATTGCCACCTCTACTATTGAGCAAAACAACCAAAGAAAGACTTCAAACAATATAGTTAATGTACTAAAAATCACCAAAGCACAAATGCTCGTGGATCAAAGTGTAGTATCACTACTCAAAGACTCGTTCAAATCCTTAATTTACAATGCTTTTTTCTAGTTTCAAGTTTCACCAGAGGAAAATTATCACAGAAATCCCCCTACCAATACCAAACAAAACTAACTGTAAAAAAGTCCAAACAAAACTAAAAGCAAACAGAAAAGGAAGACAAAAGAGCGGGAGGCGCTACAATGGATAATTCCACTTCGACCATTTCCTCTTCACTCCAAAATCAATTGAAGTGGGCCCCCGTCTCTCCCTTTATTTCCCTTTCTCCCGACTCCCGCCGTCTGCTACCGAATTAAAAGAAAAAAAAACCAAAAAAAAACTATTTTCTTAATTAACCTCAGAATCTGGCGTTCTCGAAGCCGTGCAGATCGCTGACTCTATTCATCGACTTCTTCACCATAGCCATCTTAGCCAGCCTCTCAGCCGCCCTCCAAGCCGAAGTCGGCGTCAACGGCTCGCCGTTCTCGTCCGTCATCACCACCGCCTCCCTCTCCCCTCCTCCTCTCCTCATCCGCTGCTGCTGCATCACCATCGACGCCGCTTCTATCTCCTGCTGCTTTCTCCAGTGAAGCTCCCCGAGCTCCGCCTCCACCGCCCTCACGTACTCCTCCGCGCCGCCGTTCTCCGACTGCATCAGAAGCGCCCTCGTCGACGCCAGCAGGTGGTGCGCGCTCGTGAAGTTGTTCCCGTGCTCCACCAGCCGCCTCGCCTCCGCCAACGCCCTCGTCGTTATGAACAGGTTCCTCAGCCGCTCCACCTTCGCCGCCGCCACCGCCGACGACCGGGCGACGGCGTGCGGCCGCGGGACCAGTAAAGCCTGGTCCCTACCGTACACCACCTCCTGCGTGGCCGGATCCTTGTAGAGACACCTAACGGACATCACGTGGTGGGACCCGATCGCCGAAGCCGGGACCCGTAGCTCCACCAGCAGCTCCCTCTCTTCCTCCGCGTACAAATCCCCCAGCCGAACCGAGCCGGAGCTCAGCACCGTCGGCCGGCCGTTCCACGAATAGACGGCGCAAATCTCCGCCGGAGCCGAACCGGAAGCGAATCCGAGCTGAATTCTCAGATCCTGAACCACCACGCTGAGCAATCCCCCGACGCATTTGGCGAACGCGTCCTCCGCCGGCTCGTGGCTGTAGCCGCCGCTCTTCCCGAAGCCGAAGGCGTGGACCGGGATCTCGATGTGCGCGAAACGCGTGGTCGACGTGACGTGGCTCTTCTCGTGCCGTTGGTTCGAATTGCTCTGGACCCGATCGTCCTGGCCGTCGGATAGGAGCATGATGGTGGCCACCGGATTTCTCTCCCTCCTATCTTCGAGCACTTTCGCCGCTTTCATCAGAGCCTCCCCGACGCTGCTCCCTTGACCGCAGACGAGCCGGTCAACTATGCGCCGAGCCGCTCGCTGACCGTGACTCGTCATCCTTCTCAGAGGCAACAGCCGCTTCGTCACCGACGAGAAGGCCACGATCGAGAGCCGGTCAGCGGAGCCGAGCGATGAGATCACTAACCGCATCGCGCGCTTCAGCATCAGCATCTTACCGCCGGTCATGCTTCCGCTCACATCGAGAACCGTGACCAAATCGATCGGCGCTCGATGAGACGGGTTCAGAATCGCCGCCGCCGAGTTGCTGCACGCTTGCAAAGGCGGAGGAGCTTTCACTCGTAATGCCACCGCATAGGTCTCGTATCCGCGGCCGACGGATACCACGGCGGCTTCAGGTAGGAGATTGACCTGAACGGTTCTGGAATCTCCTCCCCTCCCGCTCAGCAGCGGCGACGAAGCGTCTTCGGATTTCATCGATGAGGAACGAGTTGGATTGACGAAGAATCCTTGGAATTCTTCGGAATCGTCTTCCTCCTCCGCATTCTCATCGGCAGCCTCCGGAATCGGGATGAATCTTGAGCCGGCGGTGGGGGATAGCAGCGGCTCGTCGTCATCGTAAGACCTCAAATCGGACAGCTTCGGCGTCGATGGCTGCTGTGGCGGCGGGGACGGCTCCTGCTTTACCGCTCTGGGCGAAGATTCCACCATTACCACCCTCTTCTCCTCAATTTTAGGCTTGACATTGTTGCCGGCGGCGTCAGGGTGGAGATTCTTGTGGATAGCGAGGAGAGGGACGTCTTTCCAGGCGGCGTTGCAGACGGGGCAGACGAGGCTGCCGTGCTTGCGGACATAGTCAGCTATGCAAGGGAAGTGAAAAGCATGAGCGCATTCCGCCGTGTAAATCGCCGTGCCTTGCCCTGTTTTCACGCTATTCAAACAGATTCCGCAACTACTCTGCAATTCAAAACAAGAAAGAAGAAGAAGACGACGACGACGACGACGTTAGCATTAGGTAAGGCCCAAAAAGCTACTTTCTACCCCATTTCCAGATCCTAGTCGCTAGAATTTCACCCGAATCAAAAGGAGGGGGAAAAAATAAGAGGCTTACTCTGAACTTGAAGCTGTTCTTGAAGAGAGATAGCTTGAGAGGAGATCGAGGAGATGCAGGATTGGAGCCGTGCTTGGGCTTCGGGCTAGCTGCAGCGAGCTTCGCCGTGGTGGCCCTGGGAGTATTGTGCGTGGTTCTGCAATGGAGGGCAGGGCTGTCTTCTGCTGCTGCAGTTGTTGTAGCACTGGTATTGAGATTTGAGGAAGAAGATGTACGGCAGCGCAAGGCCGGGCTGGAGAAGGAGCGAGACTTGAGGCGGGGAGTGGCGGGGTTGCTCCCGGCGAGGGAGGAAGAAGACGAAGAAGAAGAGAAGAAGGAGAGCTTGGTGCAGCTTCTGGGGCTGGGGCTGGGAGGTGGAGGACTGGTGGAGTTTGAGCTGTTGGTGTGTTGAAGGCGCTTGTCTCTAGGTATTGTAGTACAGAAGGCTCGTCGCCACCCAGTACCCATGATTATTATTTACTTATAATGGAACTAGTCCTCTACTCTTCTTCTCCGGTGGAGGAACAGCAGGGGGGAAAAAGCAAAAGGAGGGTTGCAAAAGGGATTGGTTCTTTCTGTTTTCGGACTACACTTTCTCTACTGGCTTTTCTTTTTGGCGCAAGAGGATGCGGAGAAGGCGATGGTCATGGTTTTGGAGGAATTGGCAGAGAAGACAAAAAAAGTGGGTTTGGATGGGAATTCAGAAGCAATAATAATAGTAGCAGTAGGGAAGGAGGCAGCAGAAGCAGCATGGGATCGAATGAAAGAGAAAGGTAAAGGAGACAAAAGCAAGCAGTGGGATTTTTTCCTTTATAGAAAGGGAGAGGCAAGAGGAAGAAGAAGAAGGTCCGCTTCCGCCATCGAAACCCAAACCAACCAAGCAGTGGGCTTCACAATCAAAACGATTGTATTGCTCTCTCTCTCTCTCTCTCTCTCTAAAACTTGCGTTTGCCTGCTTCTCTCTCGATTCAGTCGAAAAGGGATATCTGGCAACAGGGTGGGTTTTATTTTCCGAGATCTACTGCCTGCTCCTCTTTCTTTCTCTGTGCTTCATATATGCACTTGGTTCCTCCTATGGGGATTGTTTTCTTTTCTATATAATAGTAGTAAAGTAATAGTAATACCCACTGGCCAGTGGCGCTTTCTCTGTTCACGTACCTAATAAAGTCTTCGGAACACTAATCAAGGAATTAAATAGCAATTAAAAAGGTTCTTAACTGTGATTTATTGTTGTAAGTAACCTCCCAGTCAGATTTCAGACGCAAAGTAAAAGTTGCCTTCCTTCCACTTCCAGGATCAACTTTTGAGCTCAAAACCTATATTTTTGGGACCAAATCTTGAAGGGCTGGGCTAGCAGTTATGGTAATATCAGGCTACGGTACAAGTTTATAAAATTTGGTTAATTTCCAGAAAAGTAAAGGATTCATAACCTCTAATTAAATGGCATATTAAATGCGTCTGCTGCATAATTGATGTCCTTGCATCTTGATTTTATGGAAGGAAAAGCATGTAATAATTATCTTCTGATTCATTTCAGAAGCCAATTATTATTATTATTGTTATAATAATAAAAAAATGAACAAGTGACTTGGAATTGCAATAATAAATGCCTCGTCTATCGTCTCGTAGGGAATTGGGGAAATATCAAAATATGGGCGCTGAGCTGATGGAGTTAGACCACCCACAGCGTGGGTTGGTTTTGTGGGAAAAAGGGGAAATGTGACCACAATGTGGGGGGGAATAGGGGATTAAATGGGTTTTGTGGGTTTAGTGGGTGGGAAAACCCACCAGATGAGACAAATGGTGGGGGGAAAGGGGAAGGGGTGGGGCCCACTTCAGTTTGTTTTTATTTTATTTTTTTGTTATTATTTTAATGGTTTAGTGTTTATTTGTTTGCTTTTATTTCTTCTTAATTATGTTTATGTTCAACTATCAATGTAACAACTTTCTTGTATAAATTATTGCGATTTCGTCATTAATGACGTTAATTAGTGATGAAAAAAATTATGTCCAAATTAGAAAAAAAATTATATCAAAATGTTCGTATTCATTAATTATCACTAACTATGTAAAAATAATGATCATTATATAAAAATAAAGTGTTGAAATCAACTATAAATTGATTTTACAAAAAATAGTGTTCAACCAATTACCCCTTTTTCCCACACCAACATTGTGACCCAACCCTCTCATTTTCCCCCTTTTCCCTCTTTTCCCACCTTTCCCACCCTCCCACATTGTGGATGGTCTTATGACTACACATACAGAGCTGTTTATGTATTAATTAATTATTAATGAGGTAAATTAGGATCATTTCCACAACTGCTTCACCCCCGCCACGTGTAAAAAGTCCGGTCAACGATTCGCCCCCGCAGCTTCTTCCCCTTCCCCATTGCTCTCTCTCTCTCTCTCTTACTGTGAGACCACGTTACGATACGAGTCCCCCACCGACCTGTTTCCCTCGCCATGCCTCTTCCCCAACGGACGCGCTCCCACGGGCGCTTGGCAACCGATTTGGTTCACGTGATTAGCTAGCTCACACGGAGCGTCGGATTCACTCGCGATTCCTGCGAATGGGGGAGCGGGAACGTTAATGGTGGGAATTGCTGGGTTTGGTTGTGGTAATGTGCAGTGCAGTGGATCAATGCATATGCATGAGGAAAAAGTAAACCAGACCAACGTATGAATGAGGTAATTAATATGAGCATATATTTAGATGCGGCAAGAAGATGTATTAAAGGGGGAAAAAATGCTTCTAGTTTGTTTCTTGCTCTCAAATCCACATGGGCAGTTTGGTTTAATGATTAATGAGATGTTAAACCGTTTTTAAGCAGTGGATAAGTGAGATGGGATGGGAATCTTCTGAGTTCTGAGCATCAATGGTGGGACCCGCCCAAGCTGTGTACCCAACCAACCCAAAGTAAAGGAAAACATAATATATGTGAGGGAATAATAATTGACAAATAATAGAAATGTTGATTTGCATGGGACGGGACGGGACTCCGGTCCAGTGTCAGAGGGAAGAGAAGAGGAACCTAGGCTAGGCTAGCCTACCCCACCCACGGAAGATCATTCAAACTCAACATATATGCAAAATAAAAATGAGTTGATAAAAGATCGTTTTTAAAATTATTAATCTTCATTCTAAATGACAACAAAGTTACATTTTTAATCTTTTGACATCTTTACATTTTTTTTAGCAAACAAACACCACTTTGACTAAAAAAATGAAAAACACTCAATCTCCAACACTCTCGAATTCAACGTTGACATTCTGAAGTCATAATCGTCAAGAATACGTCCGAATCATGAGGGGCGATTCCGGCAAGCGAAAAATTAAAAAAAAAAAATCCAAAATCCCTCAACCGAATCCAATTTTCGGTTGCACTATGGCTCAACCGAAGCCAACTTTCGGTTGTACCATGGACCAATCGAAATCACCTTCAGTTGCACCATGGCTCAACCGAATCCAATTTTTGGTTGCACCATGGCTCAACCAAAAATTGGCTTCGGTTGAGGTGTTTTTGGGATTTTTTGAGTTTTTTCGGTTTATATAAACAATTTTCTATTCTTTTGCTACGATTTATGGTTCGGTTCATAAGATAATTTGTTGGATTTTGGTTTATATTTTTTTTATTTATGGAAGGGGGAGGGGGTTGTTTGTTATGATTATGCTTTTGCAATTGAAAATGGGCAATTCGGTAAATTATGTATTAATTTAGGACGATGGTTAGTAATTTTTAGGACGACCTTTAACCATTCAGAAATAAAACCGATACAAAAATTAGGAGTAGGGATGGCAGCAAAACTTGAAACCACGGGTACCCTATTCGATCTAACCCGGTCAACGAAGGTGAAATCCGTGTTGACGGGTTTTGGGCCCCATTTGGGTTTAAATCCGTAACACTTTTACTGGATTGGGTTGGGTTGGGTTTGGGTTTAGGAATACTCGACCAATGGATATCCACCCACACTTATTTCGTCGTCTACTCTCTCCAAACCTTACCCTAATTCTAATTTCTCCCAATCTAATTTACAATTTGTACGGATAATTTGTGATTTGTTTGAATTTTCTAGGCTGGTGTTTTATGTATGGATAATTGTATGGAGAAATTGATGTTTGACTTTTATTTTGATAGGAACTTGTTATTGTAAATTTTTTACCACAAAAACCCAAGGAAACCCATGAACCCACGGATACCCAGCGGGTTGGGTTGTGTTTGAGTTTTCCACACCCATTGGGGTTTACCCCCGGTTTTCTTTTACGGAGAAACCCATGGATTTGGTTTTGGGATTGGCATAACCCGACCCATTGTCATCCCTACTTATGAGATTTTTTTCGTTCAAAATTAACTAAAATTCGTCCATAATCGAAGCTATCAATTCTTGTTATTCAAGTTAACTTCAATGGTCACATGTCTAGACATATGTGTACAATAGTCTAGTGAGCACTACTACTATACTTGAAAGTATTGGTGCTTTATAGTACAACTTGAAGTTGTACCATAACGTTAAAAGTACAAATTGAAATTTTATCATAAGGAAACTTTACCTTATGTTGTGGTACAACTTCAAGTTGTACCATAATATATGTGTACAACTTTGGTAACATAATATATGTGGTACAACTAGTTTGTACTAGGAATGGCTATGGGGCAGGTCCGGGGCGGGTATCTCGATACCCATACCCGCCCCATGGCAGGTCGGGTCCAGGTCGGGTAATTTATCACGGGGCGCGGGTAGGGGCAGGTCGACCCGTTGGGTATGTAATTATGCGAAAAACATTAGAAACATTCGTTATTTTCATTAAAAGACCAAGAAAGAAACCATAATACGATAAAATGTAGTTAGATTATTGAAGAAATTGAGGTTTTCACTTATTTACAACTTTATTATAGCTAAAATATAATGTAATAAGAGGAAAATCCTAAGTAATTTGACTAAGATTATATGTAATATAGGCAAGAACGGGTCGAGAATGAGGCGGGTCAGGGCAGGTCGGGTCGATGAGAGGTAACATGCCTGCCCCGCCCTGCCTACGGGGCGGGTTTGACCTGCTCCAAAACAGGTCAAACAGGTCGGGTAAATCGGGTCAGGTCGAAATTGCCATCCCTAGTTTGTACCATAAAAAATTTTACGAAAAAAGTATAGATACAAACTAAAATTGTATCATAATTTTAAAAGGTACCATATTATTAAAAACTAAAGCATCATATTACAAAATTCCTCCAGTCGATAACCCTAGCAATCAAGAGTTAAGGTACACGGGTTGATTTCGACTTACTTAGGACTTAATCTAAGTCTTAATACATAGTTAATAGAATGAGCCAATACATAATATTGGATGCTTAACTCAATTGCATTTTGTATTATAGAAAATTAATACTTGTACGAAAAGGGTTTCTTTTCTTTTAAGGATAAGGAGCATCAATCTCACTAATCCTTATTTAGTTAGGAAAACTTCCTAAACCAACTGATCGCATCATGATTGATGGCTCAAAATTAGGGATGGCAATTACCCACCCATGGGTAATTTTACCTAAATCCAAATAGATCCATTTAATATGGGTAGGGTTTGGATGAAGTGTATATGGGTTTGGGGGTTTGTAAATGGGTTTGGGTTAGGTATGGATATTGCTTTCATAATGTAAATGGGTATGGGTTGGATATGTATATCCATTTACTTGAGGGTGTTTAACTACACACACAAAAATTGGACCTATTTGTAAAACTTGAAAAGTTTAGGTACCAAAATGTAAGACCAAAAAATATTAGGGGTCGTTTGGAAGTTGCGATTGTTTTGTTGAGATTGTCATTATGCATGTATTGTTTACAATGCATTGTTTTTTTGTTTTTTTAGCAGAAACAATACATGTATTGTTTCTGTGATGTGACAGAAACTATCACTCATTTTGAGTGATTGTTATATCTCAACTTTTAGTTGTGATTGTTGAGATAGTTGAGTTGAGATTGTTTTGTCTCAGCTTTTAGCTAATGCGACATACACAATCACACATACCAAACGTTGTATTCTA